TTTAACTTCAATTTTTAACCAAAAGGTCAAGCGCTAAAGTACACTTCAAAAAAAGTCGACTCCAGCACCCCAAAAGAAAGACCCGGTGAGAGAGAAAAAAGCTTCGTATGGGGCACCATTCGAGTGGTTCCCGTGTGCGCAGGCGGGGTTGGTGCGGCAGTGGTGGCTGGAGCTGGAGCGGGCGAGCGCGCTGGCCACCGTGTCGCGCGCCCGGAACAGCCCCCCGCCCGGCGCGCCCTTCGTCATGAAGGTGCACCACGTGCAGGGCGCCTTCCTGCTGCTGGGTGCGGGGCTCGGGCTGGCCGCGCTCGCCGCCGCCGCGGAGGCCCTTCGGGGCCGCAGGACCGCCTCGCGCACGCCCGAGCAAGAATACAGAAGAGCACGTGTACTTCAGGAGCACATCACCAAATTATATTAAATTCAACATACAATAAAGCGTGTTACAGAACGTTTCCGGGCAGGTAGGTCATGATCCAGTTGGCATTGAAGGCCAAACGTTTCGTCCACGACTGCAGTGGACATCTTCAGTGGTGAAAGGGTAGCGGGCGCAGTGGTCGTGCCGGCAGCGGCTGGCTAGCCGGCAGCCAGTCATCGCCCCGAACACTGCGCCCGCGATCCTGCCGCCTCTGATGTTGTCGACCGCAGTCGCGGACGTTTGACCCTTCAATGCCAACTGGACCACGGTCTACTAGCCCGGAAAATGTCTAAACGTCTCTTATATTAACTCCGGTCGTGAAAGCCTATGATGCTATATATTGCGTATTGTTAACACGTCACAGGAATTCCCATTTTACGTTGTGATCTTTGTGTAATCTCCTTTTTTTAAACGTACTCCGTATTTTTTGATACAGTATCTCTTTGATGTATGTGCAGAAATCTAAAATTTAATCATATTAAAAATTCGCTTCAAATACAATTCAAAGGAAGTATGGAATACATGTATTTCCATTTCTTGCTACACGCTTGGACGAACTTATTAATATCCTTCACCGTCACATTTTTCTTTCAATGAATGTCAGAACTTTATGATATATATTTATCTCTAGGGGTAACCTACTTTTAAAATAACATTAAAATTTAGAAATGGCTCTTGATATAGAAGGATATTATTTATGGTAACTACATGTCAGAGTACGAGAGTTCATGTCAGAGTACGAGAGTTCATGTCAGAGTACGAGAGTACATGTCAGAGTACGAGAGTTCATGTCAGAGTACATGTCAAAGAACGAGTCAGAGTTCGTATACGTAGCATTCTTAAACAAATGATATTTAATCCTAAAACAAAAACCAACGACAGAAAATGGAAACGTTTGCATGATAATATTTAGTTATGGAGATTTTCTAATGCTCAATGTGTGGAATATGAATGATATGTCTCTCTTTAATATACTTCATGAGGGCCTCGCGGGATGGCTCAGCTGGGTTCTAGTTGCTAAATCGGACAAGGTCACATTCGGGGAGGGGTGGGGTTCTGCGCGCTTATAGATAATTTTAATATTTTTCGGAAAGGATGAATATTGATTTAATAGACCAATTTAGCAAGTATTATATCGTTAAAACAAATTCATTTCTTAATAAGAACTGAGGTTTGATGATTTACCAAATTTTACAAACTGTTGCCTGTAAAATATTACATAAGTTTATAAAATTATGATTAAAAGTGAATAAAACAGTATCAAAATTTGAAAGGGTAATAAATATGTTAAATGTAAATTATTTTTGATAACGGTAATGTGTTACCAATAATTATATAATTATTTGTGAGAAAATGCGTTCGAAATTCTCAGATCTTGTATGTTTTTCATTGAGAAGTGTATGTTGTTATCAGCACCTGAAGTTGTTTGCAAATTTAATTATTTCCTATGGAATATCCTAAACTATCTGTGAGTAAATTATACGAGGAAAACTCATGGGGCAATATTGTATTTCTTGTGAGTTACCATGCGAGCACGCGGGAGGATATTTCGCTAAAGGACAATATTTGCAGTCCAACACGTCGAATTTCGCAGTGAACAATAACACACAGTTTTGCGCCAAGCGACTCGAACTTTATTAAACTCTTTGGATCTTACCCTTGAACGTACGAATTTACCCTGTGCATCGCAAGACTGTACAAGGGGAAGAACGACAGACGGGAATTTGCGAACAACTTCATGATTCCTTATGTTGAATTTCATGATTAAATTTCTTAACAGTGACTCGTTTTTATGTTGAGCGGTTGCTTGATGTTATTTTGAGACCCTCTCTCTCTTGAACTGCTCTCGTTCACGATTCGGCGTAAACTCGGAAAATATACGTTAACTTCTGAAGACGGAAGATCAAAGAATCGATGAACTTCTTGTTTAATTTCGCTACAATGTATGCTACAACATTCGAATTGTTTCAGCGAAGAGAGTTTAAAATGACGTCTAAATTCGATACGGTCACAGAAAGAAAGGAAGTGTTAAGTATTTTGACAAGAATACGTTTGGCAGACTCAAGATTTTCTGTAATTGCAAAGGCCGAAGGCCGGAGCCTCGCCACCGAATTTGATACAGAGACCGATACTTCAACCGAACCATAAAAGTATTTATTACCTACTGAAGTCTAACTTAAAGATCAGTTTCATTAATAATTAGTTTCACCATAGAACACATGTTCAAAAATACATGTCCCATTATTAATAGAAATGATCGTGTTCGTAATATAAGTAATGTTAGAACTAGTATTCTACTAATCCATTTTACACTCCTAATTACTCTTATGAACCTTTCACGTGATGATTCAAATTTAAAAGAAAAATATAATTAATTTGTAATGTTAACAAAGTGAATAAAATGTCGACATTCTTTTCGTAACTATTTTAATGCTATATTGGTTATTAAGCTTCACTTAATGACTACTCTTGATAATTAATTTTCATATTGTAATAAGATACTCTACAATACGTATTTCCTAAATAACTGTAAAGGCACGACGTACGAGTTACCGTACACCGCGCCGATTGAGGTGGCTCAGGGCATCAAATGACGTAACTTCAAAACCTCTGACAAGCTAAATAGCTAGGTCAAATGTGTCCGCTGTCAGAAGGAGAAATTCGGCTGCTCTGATATTTAATTGTTTTTGCGATTTTCCGTGTTTTCAGCCCAGTTGAATGTCCGAACAGTGCTCTAACAAACGGGCCAAGGATCGCGAGCTATATTTCCTTCCTCTTCCTTGTCCTGCTTTTACACACACACGTGCATGCACTACAGTTCCACACATACGAGAGACCACTTGATAGCTTGTCTCGGAGGGGAGACGCTCCACCGGTGGGAGATACTAGGTCGGGAAAAGCGCACAAACTTGTAACTCGACGCCGTATCTCACCATTCTGTGTGTGTGTGTGTGTGGGGGGGGGGAGAACTTCGCCACCTTCCGGGACACAAACATGTTTTACTCTTACAGGTCTAATGACAGCAGGAATTAACGCACCCGAAACACGAAATAGTCAATCATCTAGTACAACTTGATTAAGTGAAGTCGTCAATTCGTTCGGGTTCACATAATCATTACTTTTTCTCGCAAAAGAATAGAGTCCTTCACATGAGGTACGATAAGGGATACAGTGTAATACGAAAAATTTAGTAATGTCTTTTTCCTATTTCAGTTTTAATTGATATTAAGTCAAATCTTTTCACTTACGTTTTTATTTTATGGAGAGCAGTGACATTTCAAACCATGTAATTGTGGATTCTTAAAGAGACTTCAATGAATGTTTGTCCGTTCCTAGAAATTAAACTTTCAGATGTGAATGATTGTTTCTGACCTTGCGCTTCCAATAAGAAAGGGGGATGTACTTCTGCTTTTACGAATGAGCTGCACATGTAATGGACTGTTCTTGAATACACTTGGAATATAGAGAACGCGCTACTCTATTTCTTTCATAAAAGCCAGTGATCTCGATTTCACCCAAAATATCCCGAACACTTCAAATAACTAAATTAACCTTATTTCTTACCTTGAACATCCGATGCTCGTAATGCTCTTCAATCGGGGGACAACTCTTTGTCGGGGGATGTAAATAACTCATCCAGGTTGTTTTGCCTGTCGTTTGGGATGTCGTCGCGATTCAAATGAAGTCAAGCGAAGAATAAATCCGAAATCTATACACTGTCCGTGATTAATTTCAAAAAACAGACTTTACTTTAAACTACCTAAAATGCACTTTTGTTTCTGCGTCTCTCTTCGTAAACGTTTGTTAAAAATTGATAACTCGCTGACAAAAAAAATCGTGAACTATATAACTGCACAACACTGTTCATGACGACCGTTGAGAACCAAATGGAGGCCTAGCCCCTGCATTTCTCATGGGATGGTGGAGGGGAGAGGGGGGGCTTTCCCCTTTTGAACATTTCGCTCCCCCTCGTCTATATTAGGTTTTTCCGAAATATTTGCTATCAGACTCCTTTTGCAAAAATTATGGAAACCCTTGTCCCCTCACAGTAACTTCATCTACTCTTCTACTAAAGTTGTGTAGTACTCATTTCACTAGGTATCAAAAATGGAGTATTATTAGGTAATTAATTATTCATTTGAAAATGTTTTAGAATTAAAAGGCAATATAATTTGTCTTTAAAATCAAAATCTATACATGCCGAAAGTACCAAACACACAAGACTTATTTACAACAAATTAAAGATCTATAAATTCAAATCACTTTATTAAAAAACTGAAGTGAAGAAATTATATTCCTGCATTCATATTAAGTTCGAACATACATGTTCTTCCCCGCAGTTACTTTACTTTCTTATAATGGCCAGTGCACACACAGGCATTAAGTTCGTACTTGGTATTTTTTCTTTCCAAAATATCCATCATTAGAAAATTTAACAATTTTATTCTGAAGTTATTTTGAAGGGTTGTTATTAGTACTTCGTGATTTTAAAATAAAATACTTTGAGAATGGAATCTACCAACTACCTGAACTTGCCGTAACTTGAGCATATAACGATTTTATTTTCCTTACAACTAAATTCATACATTATTTTTTTATAATTGAGAATGCTTTTCCATTTACTGTAGTTGACAATTCAAATCAAAGAACAAGGAATAGAAATAGTCCGATAAATTCATGTTTATTTTAATTTTTTATTACATTAGACATTTTATTATTAACGTTACAAGTATTACATTCATTATAAGTGTTAAATTATGTTTATTTGTGGTTGTAACCGTTAACATTTCTATTTCACACATTTCATCAATATTTTTATTATTTTGTCTAAATATTGTTCTGAATTTAATAATGCACTTTTTAACTGCGATTATTCAACTTGTATATATTAATAAATAAAGTTACAAGTAAAATAGTCTTCATCTTTACTAGAGATATGAAATTTTAAAAACAATGTTTTCCTTATTCTGGCTTCTTACTATATACTGGATATTTTTTCAAGCAAATTAGAATACCGAATATGCCATTTACATTGGTTAAAAGTTTTGAAGCAAGAATATTAGAAATAATTATTTGTTTTGCACTTTTTGTAGTCTCATTTAAAACAATCAAACTCATACATTGTTGGAATTTAAATTTCCTTGAAACTTTCTTGCAAATAAAAATTGAGAATAGTACATTAAATTTACTATTTTTTCAGGTCATTAATGTTTAGATAAATAGAGTTAACTGTATCTTAAGCAATAGTCATGAAAGTTTTCTGAACTACGAGAGAAGTGAAATTTATTAAAATAAATTTCAGAGTAAATGTTTTATTGCACGACTGCTCCCATTGTTGTTTGGCACCACTGGTCTGTTGTACAGGAACAAAGATTTTCACGTCCTCGAAAGTGCACCTCGCAATTCTTTGCCTTCTTCAAATGTCTTACTTTGAACCCTCATAAAAGAACCTTTCAAAATCTCTCAAGTGTTTCTGCAAATCTCAGGAGACACTGGAGATTTGTTGACATACCGGAGAATTCTGAAATGAAAAAAAAAAATAGTGAAAGAATGGTTACATATTCCTTTGACATCAGTTTATTCAAAATTTAGTTGTGATATTTAAATGACAAAACTAGGTAAAATGCATTCAAGGTTGATGTTCTGAGATTAAATGGGGCTGAACAGTCTACATACAACAATTTAAAAAAATGTTATATCGGTTTGGTCATATATTCACAGTTAAGATCCAAACATAATTAATCAATATAAAATACTTAAAATATTTCTGTGCATAGCATAAGGATTTCATTGCAAGAAACTTATAATGGTGCTATTCTTTAAGTCACTCGTATACGTTTCATAAATTTCAACACTTGAGATTTCTTTATTAACGTTTTAAGAGATCTTCTCAGATAATTAATCAATTAACATGCTGGAATACTCGTATCGAATATACGCGTAGGTTCCGATTAATATACTCCTTCAAACTTGAAACAATTACTTTCAACCATAATCACTAATATGACCGGTTCAGTTAGAAGGAAAAGCTGAACAATTTAATAACTCAATTTTTTGTGTTGTTTTGAGAGGAACATAGAGCATGTGAAGGGAAAACCTTTAAACAAATTTTGGCACTACGGCATTGATACCTTAATGCTCGCTTACTGTTCATTGATTGTAATTTCCGCCACACTTATGACAATTTAGAACTTCGCATGACGTATACAGCAAAATTGACATGAACACATGAAGTCCTAGTTACAATATGTGTTGAAACATACGTTGCCGTCTAGCATTTTGTGGATGATGTAAAGAGTAAACACGTTTTACGTTTCCAAGAATTCGTTGAGAAAATAAATGTGACTTCGACGAAAGCAATCGCCTGTTAGCGGCCAACATTCATTTGAATATGACTAATTGATCGCCCAACTTGGATTTGGGAACAAATCTACGTTCCACTGATGTAAGTTTGATATTTTCTTCACATTCATACACCAACCTTAAATGTGTCCTAGACACTCAAAAGATTTTATCTTCAGAATACTCCGAATATGGTCTTAATCAGGAATGTCACGGTCGCGGGAAAGGTAACTGGCTTTCTAGAGTTCGCGGTCACTTCGTCTAGAGATTCTGGCTGGAGATTTCAATATTTTGTAATCGCGTTTACCAATCACAATAATTGCATTCACTGCTTACGTACGGGTTAGTTGGTTCAACAAAGATTCTTCACATAAACAGATCTCTAAGTTTATTCATTAAACATTTTTGCTTTATAGAACAAAAAATAATTTATCACGTCTTAATCAAACTAAAATGAGCAAAGAATTCGCCATTAGAATATTCCTGTCCCGTTTGCAATGTTTATAGGAGACCGAATTGAAAAACTGAACTTAAGTAATAAGTATTGAGTTTAATAAAGATAAAAGTGTGGTAGAAATCCACGCTTATCTGAATTTCGTATAAAGACATCATTCGTCATGATGTTTTGGGCCCACCATTTGCTTACTTTCCCAAAACAACACTATCTGGTTTGGGAGGGGGAAATGGGACAAAGCAAAGGAAAGCTGTCTGTGCTCGCAAACAAGCGCAGTTTGACATGCTGAGTCTATTTATAATATTATCTAAGTAGCTTCGTAAAATGCCAAAATAATTAAACAATACCATTGTAATATTGTGTGCCGAAGGAGGGTCTTGATCGAAATGGGTGTGAAACATTTGAAGATGGCAGTGAATAAATACCGTTAGCGATATGTTTATTTGGCCAATAAAATTATGACTAGGCCAATAAGATTATGACTGGAATTCTATTGTAATAAACTCTCCAGAAACTTAGTACGAACCATGATCTTCAAGACCGCTACGTGTACGTATACAGTTGTCGCGCAGCAGTAGGCTTTTTTAAATATTTTTTTTATTATTTATTACCTCCTGTTCGGCTTTGCTGCCTTTCAGGGGTGTTAACATTTTACAAAGTAATGATTTGATATTCGTTCTCACGATAATTGTCCTGAATATTACTGGGTGTGTTCAATGTATAATTTTGAAAATTGATTTGATGTGAATTTATTTTTATAATTCATTGAATACAATATTTATATGTTATTTTATATTTATAGCTGTTGCGAAGTAATGACTGAGTATTTATGGAGGTCTGAGGTTATCCTTGGGAAATCGTGAGAATATTCTATTTGGCTTTGGGTAGCTTTTGCCGAGTTTGAAGCTGAGTGTGGTTGGAGATCCTGAAAGAGTGTCAAAGAACTTGTGAGAGGATTTTAGGATGTGTTTTTGTATTGACTGAATTAGTAATTCTCTGTGAAGTTGTTTGTTACTAATAAACCAGGGACCTTCGTTATTTTTCTTAAATATTTTCGATGATTTGTATTGTAGTTTTTTAGCAGTAGGCTTACCAGTAGCGGCTGCATATCGCCGCTAACATCGCTGAGCACCATCTGTTCCAGAAAAGAAAAACAAAAAATACAGAATTTCAAAGGGGAAACATTTGGTTTCACGTCTCCTTTCTAATATTATATATAATTAAAAATATTATATATAATGTTCATATATGTTTTTAAAAATGTAACCAGAACTAAGTGCTAAATCACAATTAGAATACATGATCAATGTAATACTTTTAAATACATTTAATTTAGCACAAAATGTATTCGCGGGCTAAGGATTCTAATCCCAACTGACCTGCCGACTTCGTACTTCAAGGCGAACTCCCTTTTGGGCATCGAGGATCGATTCTTTCGCGTTTGCGCCAGTTGCGTCCGCCTGAGACAGCCGGGGATAACCTTCATGTCGCTCTTGTACTTCGCGAGAGCTGCTCGGTGAAGACAAGTCTTGTCCCACACGCTGCTGGGTGTTTCTTCTGCCTTCGCTCTGCTCGGTCGCTCTGATGGGTGGCCTGTTCTGGTGAGGGTCGCAACGGCAAGACGAGGAAGTTGGACGAAGGAAATGGGGCGAAGGAGGCCAGGAGCTGCAAGGTTCTTCTAAACTGACTGACGAAGCTTTTTGCTCGTCCTCAATAGGAGGCTGCGGATCAACATTTACCCAGTATTTTTTGAGACAGACATTGGGTCATTGCAAGTCTGCGACCGACGGAGGACAGGAAGTAGTCGGAGAAGGAGGAAGAGGGAGGGAGCAAGGGGACG